GCCCCCATGTACTGTGGGTGGCCATGTTCAGTAAACGGGGAAAAGTAATTTTTTCTATTGCCCGATAGATATCTCAAAAAATACCTCCTGCCTTTATTCACTCATTAATCTTATCTCTCTTTGTAATTACTTGTGACCCAAACACTTTGTGCCGACACGGAGACGAACGTTTCGTGTTGACCCATCACCTCCGTAGTGTTGAATTAAATAAATGTAACTTTATTAAAAGTAGAAGAAAATTGTATATATTTTTTACATGGGTTTCAAATAAAAAATGGAAGTTTTGATTGCTCTGGACATGCTTAGTTCAGAGTTTATAATATGTTTTAAATGTCAGAATATTTATTTTGAACACCACCCTCACTCACCCTCCATGGTCACACTTGTGGAAACGGCCTTCCTCCATCGCTACGGAGCTAGGTCGAATTCAAGCACTGTCTGCATGAGAATTCTACCAGCCGACTGCTCTGATCTGTAGTTTGTTGTGGTTTCTCTTATCAATGCCCAAGCAGTTCCTTCACGAATCAGGTAGCGCGCACGACCTTTCGTTCCCATTTCTTGGCTCGTCCTTTTCCTTTCATACACGTACATGCACCACATTATCGCGCATGTCGAGACACCAATCGCACCGCCAGCTTACAGCTTGCCCAGGCTGGGACAATGCCCCCGTTGGAAGAGTTACCAGGATGAGGAAAACCCTGGAAGCCGGCGAGTATGAGAGCGCAGGAACTTACGTTCTAGCAGAGCAACAAACACGGCCATCTACGGGAATATAAAAAGGAATTACACTTACGAGACAACTGCCGTACGTAGTTGACGTGCCCGAAATCACTACATACTTTGACACAACTAAAGCGTCCGTTTTGATTGGCTCCATAGAATGGCCTCAATGGAGTCCTGAGCCTGCGACGCGGTGCGTACCGCAGTCATTTCTGAAGAAAGGTGAGCGAAAAGACTTAAGTCTTCATATTCCTTCTTTATCGGACAAAAGATCACAGTGGTGGTTTCCTCATGCCTTCCATTGTAGGAAGTAATGGGGCCTATGAGTGGTGAACGCTGAGGACGGAATGATGTTCACATTTGATACATGGAGGAATATGAAAGCAACCACGCAACAAACACATCATCAAAACTTGTCTTACGCAAGACTCGAACTTGCAGCCTTCGGCTCTGCATATTTGAGTGGTCCGAGGCCAGCTTGAATGAAACGAGATTCGTACACGCACCATCGTAGACTGGGTTGATATACCGTTGTGGGCATGAGTAATTGGCATGGAGATGTGATTTCGGCGATGAAAGTTCTAGAGACAGGCACTCATATCAGTCGTTCTTATAGGACTCTCGAATTCTCGACGGGTGCCGGAGCAGTACCATAAACACAGACCGGCCACGGACCACACATAATCCTTGCTTTCAAAAACTCTTCTTTAAATGCTAACATGATAATATATAGTGAAAGCTAGTTCGGAACAGAAACTTCGTAAGCGTACTACCATGACTTTTTGGTAATGTTAATATAAGTTTCATGTGTTTTTGTTGTTTTATAAGTCAAGAAACATAATTTAATTTAATTTTTCTTAGTACGCTTGGAAAAACCTGCAATAAATATGAATGTTGTAAATATGTTTTCCAAGAAATATTGCAAAAAATTAAGTTAATATTACGAGACAAATGCATTTGCATTCATGAACTATTACTGAGAAAAGTGGATTGCATGGAAAATCGGGTGAAGTTATGACCGTTCGACTTCTTAGAAACACCCTGTATTACGGGCCTTCAACAGAATAATTAGACAAAAATACTAACTAATACATTGGAACACGAAGCACTGGATATTTTGCATTTCATGCGTGCTTGAATAATACAAATTTTACAGTATAGGAAAAAGTTACTGTTGCCGGTTTTCCGCATTTTTCGTGTCCTTACGTCCAACGCGAGTTCGGGCCGTGCGGCGGGGCAATGTGTG